TTTAAATTCGTCTATTTAAATAATAAGAATGTTTGCTTGATTTAATAAGGTCAAAAACGTAGTAGTACATCAACGTTACAACTAAGGTATGTAAGTAAACATGTATTATTACTCGTTCATATACTACGTCTTATAAAAATCAACGTAATCATATTTAGTTTACTTCTCGACGACGTATAAATTTTCAAAAGTATAACGCGACACATATATTATCTCGCTAACAGTAATATATTTTTGTCGTCGTACCTTATTGTAGTCTTTTAAAAAAAAAAAAAAAGGTAGGCTCGTTTAAAAACCAATCTTCCGATAAGAATAACACATCATCGCGTTTTATTACATATATTATGGGAACATTTATTATTTATCGTTATACGCAATTATTGTTAATTAAAATGACGAAACGATTTTATATCGTAAACAACAACAATATTTTGCCCATCTTGAAATAATTACTATTTTGCACAAATAAAAAAATGAAACATACGACAAGTAATAAATTTGTATTATTTATTATTTTTTTTTCAAGAGAATTTAATTGCCCGCGCGATATAATGAATTAATTTCATTATGGGGAAATGTTTATTTGTAATAATAAATTTGCAATTCTGCGCACAATGGTGGTACGACGATATTATTTCATTTTTATTTATAATCGTAATGTTAAACTATTGAAAATAAAAAATATAAAATGTTAGATTATTATTTACTATTATATATTACACATTTGTAATATAATTATATATATATATATATATATATTTTTTCAATCTCGTTGTTCGTGCAAACGAAACAAGAAATATTACCACCATTTAAACGTTCAATTAAATTTATTATATAATATCATTTTATATATTATATTTAAGATAATTGCTAAATATAAACAAAAAAATTATTGTATAACTTTGAAATCATGAAATTAGAAATCGATGTTAATAGAATTTGAATGAAGTTACCTGGAAAAAAAAAAAACAGAAAAAAAAACATACATTTTACAATATTACAAAACTAACGAAATTATTTAGCATCGTTTAACAAACTTTTAAAACAATGTTTCTTATTGTTTCATAATCGTCATAATTTTCAACATTTCCCTGCGAATTACACATTCTAATTTAATTAACGTAACTTCATAGACTCTGCCATTATATTTGACAAATGCATACCAGTAATACGAATAATTCATATCGAATAAAATATATATGATACTGTGTAAAAAAACAAAAGAAACAAAATCAAAAACTAAAACTAAATAAAATAAAATAAATATAACCAATATATATATATATATATTTATAAATATTAAAATACGAAGACTGTTAATTCATTTCCAAAGATGGCCGACTAGCGATATTTAAAAATGGCCGAACAGAAAAAGGAAACGAGGATAGAAAACAAATAAAAGAAGAATAACTTTTGGCTTAAGTCGTCCCTAATATTCTTGGCAAGTGTATTTGTCCTTGATGTTGATCAACCAAGCTTCCTCCCCCTTCGCAAAATCATCTACTAAGCCAATGTGTGTATGTAAAAAATAAACATCCGGAAATGACCGGTTAAGACCGCATTGGCACGCAATCCTACAATGTGGGACTACACACTTATTCTCTTAACCTATACACATATATCGATATAAACTAGCATACATAACTTTCCGAAAGTAGTTACAAGGTAGGAATAGGTAAGAAGTAGCGTCAGTGCCATCCGATTGGCGTCCAGACACGGGACCATAATACATTTGTTCTAATCTTTGCGAACAACACAAAAAACATACTATGACGATATAGTATCATTAAAGTTCGAAGATCTTTCTTTCTCTATCTATCTCTCTCTCTCTCTCTCTCTCTCTCTCTTTCTTTCTTTCTCTCACACCATCAGAATTTCGACTAAATAATAATTATTTATTTGATAAATGTGTGAATTTTGAGACGCGCCACGAGTAAACGGTTTTCAGGGTTACCCGTTAGATCGAATTAAACGTTTAGTGTTAGAAGTTTGCCGTCGTCGTCGTCGTCGTGTTGTTGTTGTTGTTGTTATTGTTATTGTTATTGTTGTTGTTTGTCTCGTGTCTAGTTGGCCATCGAATTTTGGCATCGAAAATACAGTATCCAATCTGCCCATTTCATTTAACGTTTTCGTACAAACGATAAACGTACATATCATTTTTTTTAGGTATATATATATATATTTTATATTATATTATTTCTCATTGATATTATTATTATATTTAACTTTCGTTAAAACAAATCACCACTACCACCACCACCACCCCCTCTCTTCCTATTGTTGTCGATGTGACGTTGATTAATTCACGATTTTCATTTTTATTTTACACACATACTTTATATTCTCTTTTATTTCTATATTATTTATTTGATAATATTTATGAACTATTTTGTTTAATTAAAGTGGATTCAATAATTTTGATCCTTTTTGTTTTTTTTTTTTTTTTGGATTCATTTTTCTCACGGCCGACGATTATTAATTATCGGTACACCCGTTTTTCTTTCTTACTTTTTCTTTTTTTATAATTTTTTTTTCTCTTTACCATTACGTAGGAAAAAATCTCTAGGGAAATTATAACGAAGATGGTAGTCGCGGATCTCTTTTAACGAATATCGTCGCTCGAGTAATTGGACGAGTACTTTTATTATTTCGAGACATTATATTCTCTCTTTTGGCATAATGCCAACAGTTTTGGATTATTACTTACGGATTTATCAGCTGAGAAATGTCATCTGTGTCTAATAACAACAACTACTTTGCAAATGTTGTTCGTTGACCGTATTCTTGACACACACAATCGATCATTTTTATTTTTATTTTTATTTTTTCAACCCCCCAACAGAGAATAATTGAAACCAATTGTGTCAGTAGGTTTTCGATAATTATAAAAATGTTATTAGAAGAAGAAGAAAAAACAAGATATAATCGTATGAGGGGTGGAAGGGGGGTAAGAAATGCAAATGTTTATAAAATGGTTCATGATCGAATGATTGAACGAACGCAAAATGGCGATTATGTTTGAACCGAATGTTTGGCAGTGGTCCCCTCTTTCAATTTTTTTCTTTTTTTCTTTCTTTTTTTTTTGTGTGCCAAGAAAATCTGATGTCAGAATAGGAAACAAATTTGTGACGATAGATTTAAATTTATTATTATTATCGTAGAATAATTTTGAATCGTATTATAAATAATGAATGACTTGTTTTTTTTTTTTTCTCAAAAATATCAAAAAATATTCGAAAATATTTGATTTTGTTTTCAAGGATAAAATTTAAAATGATTTCAAATTTATTTTGTTATCTATTTACTACGATGCGTACTATGCCACAACAACAAATCTTATTCAATCGTTGTTTTTTTCTTTTGTTTTTCCAATTTTTATTTGATAAAAAGTTAATACTCCTTGTTGACTTTCTAATCCATTTGAGGATAATGAAGCTATATAACATTTTATTTCCTGGATTAGTTTGACTTTTTCATTCATTGTCAGCCATTTAATAAGATTAGATAATCACTGGGTTTTGTTTCTTTCTTTTTTTTTTGTTAATATATATTAATATTTATTTTATATAATTTAATGTGACTATTCTTGTGTGTGAAATAAATTGATGATAAATTTTCGACGAAGTAAAGTGTAAAAAACAAATTTGTTCTCAAATAAAAGATGAGACGGTAATGATATTATTTTTATTTTTATTTTTGAGACGGTAATGATATTATTTTTATTTTTACACATTCAAATTATTTATTTCGGACAATTAAACGAACTTTTTTTCACATATAAATATATATAATATATGTTCCGATTGAAGAATA